ATGAAGAGCACCCTGGAGGAGATGAAGATGAGGAGTACACTCATCAGAGAGGCGATCTCCGCGATCATCTCAATAGAAAAAGAAGCTCGTCCCTCCGAAAGGGACGATCTCCGTCCTGCTCGCACAAGAATTCCAACCAGCAGGCCAAATCTTCTTACAACCCGATAACTCCCAAGGGAGTGATCACAAGGGATGAGTTTGACCAGCTTAAGAGCAAGTTCGATGCTCAAGTTGAAGCCTTGAAGGCTAGATGCGCGAAAAAAAAATCCGTTCGATGATGGTGACCTTGGAGAATCGCCATTCACCTCGGACATCTTGGAGGCTCCAATACCTCCAAAGTTCAAAACTCCTACCATGAAGCCTTATGATGGGTCTAAGGACCCAAAAGACTATGTTGAGGTCTTCGAAGGCCTTATGGACTTTCAGGCTGCAACAGATGTAATCAAGTGCCGCGCCTTCCAGATCGCGCTCACCGGCAGCGAGCGCCTGTGGTATCGAAGACTGCCAGCCAGGTCGATCTCGACCTACTCCTAGCTGAGAAAGAAGTTTATTAGTCAATTCTCTTCTCGGCATTATGATAGAAAAACAACGACTCACCTCGCCAGCATCAGGCAGAAGAAAGGAGAGATGCTGAGAGAATATGTCACAAGGTTCCAGGAGGAGCAGCTGAACAGCTGAAGGTCGCGCACTGCTCCGATGACTCGACCATGTGCTACTTCCTCACCGGCCTGGCCGATGAGACCTTAACAGTGAAGCTCGGAGAAAAAGCTCCAGCCACATTCGCCGAAGTACTGCAGAAAGCTAAGAAAGTCATTGACGGGCAGGAACTTCTCCGAACCAAAACTGGCCTACCTGAGAAGCAGATTGACCAGAAAAAGCCCAGCCAAGAGAACAGGAAGGCTAAGTCCAAGTCTAAGGACAGGGGGTCGTCTTCCTCCAGTGGCGAGCTGAGTATCAAAGGTCGGATAAAGGCTCCAGCCAGAGCCGACTTTATGAGCGTTATACTCCGACCACCATCCCAATCTCTGAAATACTTACAAACATTGAGGAGACTGGGATGGAAAAGCTCCTCAAGCGACCTGAGAAGCTCTGAGGAGACCCAGAGAAGCGCAACAAAGATAAATATTGTCGTTTTCATCACGATCACGGTCATAATATGTCAAACTGCTGGGAACTTAAGTGCCAGATTAAAGACCTCATTCAAGATGGCTACTTCAAAAAGTTCGTTGGCAAACCGAGGTCTAACTCGATGGAAAAGAAAGAAGAGAGGAAGCGTTCGAGGACGCCACCTCGTCGAGATGACCGACCTGCGGTCATCAACACCATTTTTGGAGGCTCAAGTGGGGGCTAATCTGGAAATAAGAGAAAGGAGCTAGCTCGCGAAGCCAGGCGCGAGGTGTGCATCATTAGGGAGCAGAGACCGACCTCCTCCATTACTTTCAACGACGCCAACCTGGAGGGGGTCCATTTGCCCCATAATGACGCACTCGTAATCGCTCCTCTCATCGATCACGTCCTGGTCCGAAGAGTACTGGTAGATGGAGGCGCATCTTCCAACATCTTGTCCCTTCTRACATATCTTGTCTTGGGATGGACCAGGTCGTAGCTGAAAAAGAGCCCGATACCCTTGGTTGGATTCTCTGGAGAATCGGTCTCTCCAGAAAGGTGTATTGACTTGTCGGTCACGATTGGACAAGATGATACACAAGTAACTCCGATGGCCGAGTTCGTCGTGATCAACGGCAGGTCGGCCTACAACGCCATCTTCGGGAGACCCATCATCCATTCGTTCCAGGCGGTTCCCTCAACACTTCATCAAGTCCTGAAGTACTCAACTCCTAATGGAGTGGGCACGATCCGAGGGGAGCAGAAAACTTCAAGGGAGTGCTATGCCTCCACGCTCAAAGGGTCATCGGTATGCGCCCTAGAAGAACAAGCCAACGGGGACGAGTTGCTGAAGTCCGAGGCCGACCTACCGAAAGCAGGTAAAAGGGAATTCTCCGCACCGATAGAGGAACTCGAGCTTGTTCCTTTGCTTAGTCTTGAAAGACAAGTAAGCATAAGAACCAAGTTGGGGGCCACTGATAGGGAGGAGCTGATCAACTTCCTCAGGTCCAACTCAGACGTTTTTGCTTGGTCCCATGAGGACATGCCGGGCATCGACTTGAAGATCATGGTGCATCGCCTTAATATAGACCCATCATTCTGACCTGTAAAGCAAAAGAGGAGACCTGTAAATAGGGAGAGGAGTGATGTAATTGTTGAGGAAGTAAACAAACTTTTAAAAGCTGAATATATAAGAGAAATTCTGTATCCCGAGTGACTCTCTAATGTTGTATTAGTCAAAAAAGCTAACGGGAAATGGAGGATGTGCGTAGATTTTACAAATTTAAATAAGACATGCCTAAAATACTGCTTCCCACTACCAAAGATTGACGAGCTCATAGATGCAATAGTAGGGCACGAACTGCTCACCTTCATGGATGCCTACTCCGGATACAACCAAATCAAAATGCACGTCCCAGATCAAGATCATACCGCATTCATAACAGACCAAAGTCTGTATTGCTACAAGGTTATGCCCTTCGGCCTAAAGAATGCGGGGGCGACCTACCAAAGAATGGTGAACAAAATGTTGGCCAAGCAGATCGACTGGAATATAGAAGTGTATGTATACGACATGCTTGTCAAGAGCAAGCAGTCAAAGTCGCATCTTTCCCATCTGACCGAAGCATTTGAAGTTCTCCGGAAGTATCAAATGAAGCTCAATCCAGCCAAGTGTACCTTTGGAGTCTCCTCAGGGAAGTTCCTTGGTTTTATGGTAAACAACCGGGGGATCGAAGCCAACCCAGAGAAGATAAAGGCCGTGCTCGAGATGGAGACACCCAAGACTCTGAAGCAGCTTCAGTGCCTCAATGGCAGGATTGCAGCCCTAAATATATTTGTCTCAAGGTCAACCGATAAGTGTCTTCCTTTCTTCAAAATCCTGAGAAGGAAAGGGCCTTTTGAATGGATGGCAGAGTGCGAGCAAGCACTAGAGTAGTTGAAAAACTATCTTTTCTCGGCACCTTTGCTAGCCAAGCCACGGCCAGGAGACAAGCTCCACTTGTACCTGGCAGTGTCCGACAGCGTCGTCAGCTTGGCACTAATCAAGCAAKAGGGAGTACGCCAAAGTCTCATTTATTACACTAGCAAAGTCATGACCAAGGCCGAGACCAGATATCCCCAAATGGAGAAGCTGGCCCTCGCCTTAGTCATCTCGGCCCGAAGACTTAGGTTGTACTTCCAAGCCCACACCGTCGTAGTGCTTACCAACTTGCCCATGAAGAACATCTTCCATAAGCCAGAGACATCTGGGCGCCTGATGAAGTGGGCAATGGAGTTGAGCGAATACGACATCCAGTTCGAGCCCAGAACTGCGTTGAAAAGGCAAGCGGTGGCAGATTTCATTGCGGAGCTCACCTTACCACCTCAGTCGGCCGAGTCCGACCTTCCGTGGACGATCTACGTTGACGGATTTTCCAATGAGAGAGGGTACGGGGCAGGAATCCTCTTGCTCGCACCAGGTGGCGGACGGTTTGAGTATGCCCTGCGGTTCAATTTTCGGACTTCAAATAATGAGGTTGAGTATGAAGTGCTTCTAGCGGGCCTGCGCGTTGCCAAAGGACTGGTGGCCATCCACATCAAGGTCTTCAATTACTCTCAGCTGGTCGTAAATCAGATTAAGGAGGAGTATCAAACAAAAGATTCCTTGATGGAAAAATATCTAAGCAAAGTCAGATCCTACCTTGCCCAGTTCGACACTTACGAGGTGAGTCAAATTCCAAGATCAGAAAATTCCAACGCAGATGCCTTAGCCAAATTGGCATCAGCGTATGAGACCGACATAGCCAGATCGGTCCCGGTTGAGATCTTGGACAATCCTTCAATCTTGGAGCCAGATGTGATGGATGTTGACACTTCAGCACCCTCGTGGATGGATCAAATCGTGGAGTTCATCAAAGGAAATCTGCCGCAAGATTCAAAGGAGCAAAAGAAGATGGTGCGAAAAGCAGCTCGGTTTATACTCCGAGATGGAGCATTGTACCGACGTGGGTTCTCTCTGCCTCTGCTTAAGTGTGTAACTCCTGAAGAAGGCATTTACAACCTTAGGGAAATCCATGAAGGAGTGTGTGGAAACCACTCTAGCGTCAGGTCGTTATCGGCCAAAGTGGTTCGACAAGGGTATTATTGACCCACCGTCGAGCAGGATGTAAAGCAGTTTATGAAAACCTGCGACAACTGCCAGCGCTTTGCAAACATTATCAATCAGCCTCCCGAGCTGCTCACCCCAATCTCGGCCCCATGGCCATTCGCACAATGAGGGGTAGATATCATAGGTCATTTTCCTTTAGGCAAAGGGCAAACCAAGTTCGCCGTTGTCGTTGTGGACTACTTTACCAAGTGGGCCGAGCCCGAGGCGCTCTTTCACATTACGGAGTCCAGGGTCACGTCTTTCATATGGACAAACATTGTATGTCGTTTCGGTATACCAAACGCTATTGTGACAAACAACGGAAAACAATTCGACAATGCAAAGTTCAAGGAGTTCTGCAGGGAGTTGGGTATAAGTCATCTCACTTCATCCCCTGCGCATCCGAAAGCAAATGGGCAGGTTTAAGCGATAAACAAACTTATAAAACGAGGACTCAAGCTGAGATTGGACTCCAGAAAGGGAAGATTGGCCGAGGAGCTACCCGAAGTATTGTGGTCATATCGGACTACCCCTAGAGAGTCAATTGGAGAAACTCCGTTCTCACTATCCTTTGGCTCTGAAGCTGTTGTTCCAGTTGAGATTGACGTGCCAACCGACAGGATAGAGCAGTACGAACCACTTAGAAACGAGGCCGAACTGCTCCTCAACCTCGACCTACTAGAAGAAAAAAGGGAAATGGCTCAGCTGCGCTTAGCGGAGTATCAGAACAGAATGGTCAGACATTACAATGCCCGAGTTCGACCTCGAAGCTTACAAGTCGGACATTTGGTCTTAAGGAAGATTCAGAGTCATGTGGGCACCCTTGACTCAAGTTGGGAGGGACCGTTCGAGGTTAAAGGCATAGTCCGACCTGGAACGTACATGTTGGCCGACCTGGAAGGAAATGTGCTTGCGCATCCGTGGAACGCAGAGCACCTAAAACGCTATTACCCTAGAAATGTCAAAATGGTCCTAAAATGGACTTGTAAAAATTTTCAAGGGGCGGAACTTTTAATAAACGAAGGAGTTATTTAATTTCGTGACTCCGAGTTCGATCAGAAATTAAATGGGGGCCACGGACTCCCATAAGACTTATAAATTGGCAAGGTAAGTGTAAAAATTGATTAAATTCAATCCTCAAAGCCCACGGGTTCGAGGTGCAATGTCAAAATTAATTGCGAATCAAAATTCAATCCTTTGAAAGCTTAAGTTAAAGGTGTGATGTGAAAAGTTCAAATTGTTTAATATTATCTTTTGAACTTCCGAGTTCGAGGAGAAATATAAAAGATCAGAGAAAGAAACTCTCAAATTCAAACCTTAAAATCAAACATAAGTAAAAGCGGCGATGTGGAAAGAGTTCCTCCCAAACTCAATCCTTTAAGCTCACGAGTTAGAGGTGCGAGGTGAAGTTATTCATATATGAGTTCAAATTTACAAAAGCAAGTTCAAAAGCTTAAGGAAAAAGCAATAAAAGAAAAGATAGAGCTTAATGTATAGAAGTGGAGAAATGAAGATTCCATTGATTAAAGGATGGAGCCAAGGCTTGTATACCTTGCAGCTCTGCCCAAAGACTTACAAAAAAACAACAACAACATAAAACAAACAAAAAAGGCAGGTAACCTCAGCTACTTCCGTGGTGGGAGGACAACTCGCCTTGGGAGCCCAGAAGGTTGATCTCCTAGGACCTGCCCTATTGCGAAGGGACCTCCTCCTGGGTGGTTCCGACCTCGACCTGGTCTTGACTAGTAGCATCTTCTTCCTCAAGATCAGAGTAGTCAGAGTCTAGCTCTCTAACATACTTTTCCACCAAAGACTGGGGGCCCGGGGTGCTGTTAGGCCCAGACGCCCATTTTTCAGCATACTTCTTCTTCAGCTGGCTGAGGTCGATTTGAAGATGAAGCATGTCGACAGTGATGCCTTCATCAAGAACTTGAAGCCTGCATCACTGAAGTTCTTGGCAAACCCATCAAAGTCTAGGTGTTGCCTGAACGCTTCTTCTAGAAGAGCTCCATCGACGAGGCGTTCTTTCTCCACCTTGAGCTCGGCAGTTAGACGCCCTATCACAGCGTCCTTCGCCTCGAGGGCCTGGAGCATGTCGTCCTTCTCCTTTAAGAGTTGAAACTTCTCCTTCTCCAGCCCTTTAGTAATGGCATGGGCAGCTCGGAGGTGGGCCTTATGTCTCTCATCCTCCCTCTTCAGCAGCTCGGCCTTGGCTTCCACCTCGACTCTCAAGATATCCACCTTGGAGCGAGCCTTTAGTAGCTCACCCTTCATTGTGGTGGCAACCTCTAAGGCAACAGAGGAGTTCTCCTTCTCCTTTGCTACTAAAGCCTCCCTTCCATCCAATTCGGCCTTTATCATAACTGCTGAATGAATGGAAGCAATGAACGCCTGCAAACACAAAGCACACAAAAGTCAGACCAAACCGCAAGTTGGGAAAACAAAATGAGTGCAGGAGAAGGTCTTACCTCGGCAGCGTGGTCAATGGTCCTTTGCAGTACGGACCCAGGGCCACTTACAAACTTGGACGCCCTTCTAAGGCAGCGGTCCAAGCACGTAGTCGAGATGCAGGACACCTGGTCCTTCACCCCGGAGCTTGACGGTTCAATTATGAACCGCATCTTCACGTCGGATGTCCCCCCCATCCGAGCTTCGAGGTCGTCCACCAGGTCGGAATGGCTCGTGGG